TTTCCCTAGGAGCTCATGATGATGCTACATGGCTTGCCCCACTACTATAGAGAAATAGAGGGAAGAGACATCCTGTCAAGAACCTTTGAGTCTAATGAGGTACTAACTCCACTTCAAATTCCTTCACGTCCGACTGTCTCACAAGATAGGTAAGAATTGAACTTGTAGAGAAAAATAATTTTGTTAAAAGTATTTGGCATTCATTTGCTATTGCTAGAAAGTATTTTCTAACAATTACATTACATTTTTTTACCATGCTACAAATTCTGTAACATTTTCTTTCTTTGTTAACCTCATTCAATAGTCCGTCCATTCCCTGGGAAATACATTAATTACAACTGAAAAACTGACCAGTGAAATATGCTATAGTGTGACTTTAATGCTCAAAATCTCCTGAAATAAGTTCCAGAAAGAATAGAAAAAACATGTATATTGTATTTCCTACTTTTGCAAAAATAAGCAAATTCCACAAAATTATCACCAACTGTAATCACGTTATTCTTTGACCTACTCCTATTTTGAATCTTTTTTTTCTAGATTACTGGGTGACCTAGAATTACTGAGATAGACTTTTAAACAAAAATTTTAAATGTCAGGAAGCCTGCATTTTGCTTTAGTAGTCACCAATGTGTAGTCAGAAAATTTCAAGAATCAATATATTTTTATTATGTTTTACTGGCCCAATTATACTGTTAGCTATGGGGCAGGATATCACAGAATTCCTGTAGTTTTTATAGTTTTGGAAAGCTGAGCCTCCTTGTTCCTCAAGACTCATGAAAAAATTATTTTTTGACCTAAATTTCTATTTTTTACATACATAACAGACTCAAGAGTCAGCCTCAGGTCCTCCACGGTTCTTTGACATGAGATTTCATCTCTGTTGTTAGGAAACTAAACTGTTAGTTTCCATCTTACTTAGAGCCTTCTGTTTAACTATTACTTCTGACTTTTTCATTATTTCTAAAGTCTCATAGCCAACATCTGAATTCCAGTCAGAGTATTTTGATATCATTGGGTCATCATGCTTTTCAAGCTATGACTCAAGTCATCGCACTAACATATCTTCCCTGAGGCAAGTTTTTGTGTTTCAGGTCTTGTATTTATAGGTGTATAAATTGTATTTGGGTGAGTCTCCATTTGAACTGTTCTAATGATGGACAGACTTGAAAGTTTGGTGAAAGTTTGGCCTGATCTAAATCCCAGTGAACATACTGGAAGGATTTCCACTGGTTTCACAGGATATCAGGAAAAGGATGAACTGAGCTCAGAATGGACCGCACAGTCAGAGTCTCAACACACCAGCAAAGCATCTTTCAGATGACAACTATGTTAGGCCCAGCACTGAAACACAGATAAGAACAAGCAGAGCTAAGTCGTATTTTCTCCATGGACAGGAAAACACATATTGTAATATAGATAGTGGACTACAGTTTCTGCTAATGTAAACACACACCCTAGTGAACTCACCAATTTATAGCTGAAAAGAAGGTGGCCAAATGTTTTAGAATATCACATGTTTTTAAAATGGTACATTTTTTCCTAGTCTCATATTTACAAGCAGACTGAATAAATGGAACTCAGTTGCCTCAACTATTTAAAATACTGCATCTTATTACTTTATCATCTTGGACTAGATTATTTGTCATCAGCATTTCCACTGAAAAACAGTACTCTGAAAAAATGGAGGCATATAAGTGTGTTTGTATATACCTAGAAGCCAGGTACTCTAAGCGTTTTACTCCGTGATCAGAGGATCAGATTCAGTATGGATATAGCAAGCACCTGGTAGGGTTAATTCAGTTATGGGATACTGAATCTGTGAGTTAGATGAACACAGAACAGGGTTATGTTGGGAAAGCTGGCAATAAACCTGCCAGAGTGAAGGTTGCCTGGATTTCACGTTATAAAACCCTAGCTTCAGTTGCTTGTAACTTGGCCTAACTGTAGTTACTCAGTCTAGGCCAACTGCCTGCCTCAAGATGACATATGTAGTTATTTATACATTTACTGGCAAGTGTTAATAAAAAAAAAAAATGGTTCAGCTGCTTCAAAAAAAAATAGGAGTAAAAAAGATGTGTTTATTTTGTCTACTAATTCATTGAACAGTTCACATGCCTTGAAGAAAAATGTACCAAAACTGGCAAACAGTTTTGCAAAAGTAACGTTATATTCTGTATTTCACATGCTTATAGCAAGTCTCTAACTTATCTTAGTACCTTCTCTCCCTTACTTTTCATATTTAGCATATACTTCTGCCCTGAACTGAATGTAAAAGATGCCATTCTGAGATACACCAGTACAGGCACCCAGTGCTGTGTACTGACTGAATATAGTCCCTGAATCCCAAATCAGGATGTTACATAGTGACTATGGCTATGTTAGTAAGTATTGTGGACTAAAGGAGAAGATTGGTAGAGTGAAACGGTGCTGAGGATTTGAGGTCCAGATAAAATGCATTTCAGACACTTTTTACTTAAGATTACCTCTAGCATGGTTCCAGCGACTGAACGCCCATCTGTGGCTGCAGTGTACTCCTGGTGCATTCCTGGAGCACCTTTTCCAGGTTATTTCATCAGAAGGAACCCAGTTCATCTACTCCAAAACCAAAGCACTGCAAGTAGAGACCACTGGAAGATTCATGTCAAAAGTGCACTCCTGATCCAATTAAAGCACCAGTGTAAATGTATCTCATATGAACTCATGCAGAGACAGTTCCTACCTACTCCCCTGAAAACTCAGTCTCCACAGACCTTATGGAAGCGCTTGGATATTCCTTAGATGCATTAGCTTCATGTGATGATCACATTGGTTACTGGATCCCTTCACAAGCTCATGTGCTGTGATACTGTATTCATACACTTTGCTTTGAGCCCCCCCACAATGAGACAAATTTGAAGGCAAAAATGTAACTTTTTCCTTAAACAAAGGGGGCACTTGAAGACTTGCAAATTCATGTGATCCCAGAATGTTAGTATATTTTTCTTCTGTTTATTAGAACAAAACAGTCCAAAGGTAGAAGTTCACTGTCAAAATTCAGAATAAATCTAGAATCATGGAAGTTAGAAATGGAAAGTCTTTATCAGGCCATTGACTATATTCCTGAGACAGTGAAGGATTGTTCACTATACAGTCTTTAATACTTTGTCCACTCTAGTCTTCCTTTGGTATTCTCTGGGTAGAGACAATATTTTTTTTCTATGTCCTTGAGATCTTTAATATCACTGGATCGATATTAGATATAAATGTTTTATTTGTGAGATAGGGACTGGAAACATTTTAAGCTTAGCAAAGCCCTGTTTGGTCTGAATGGCTGGTCAGACCCTGGTACCTTTCTGTACAATGTTTGTCTTTTCGGTCTAAGGCAAAGTGGTTGTTCTGCAACTTAGTAATCTACATGTAGACAGCAGTCAACAGGAATGATTTATTAATGTTTCCAGTGAGAGTCAGCTTAAGAATCCAAATACCACAATCATGCAAGTGACTTGGCATCAGCCTTGCTACTTTCAGAAAGGGGAAACAAGGCATTAAACAGAACTTTCTCAAGAGATAGACACTTGGGTTCCTTAGCAACTTAAAAACAGAAAAGCTCTCTGATAGTCCATGGCACATCAAGTGGTTGTTTTTGTTCATCCTACAATACAAACGTATTGCCCTTTGCATCATGGCAAAATGTATAATGAAACAGCATAGGGCAGCAGCAGCGGTGGTAAAAAACAAGTAACAAGCTAAATGATAGGATGCTACTCCACTGCCAAGACACCATAAAGAACAAAATGGAGCGCAGCACTGTCCCTACCTTGTGGATCACAGTCTCTCCCAGAGATTTCCCTAAGGTCTATTTGGATACTTGCTATAGTTGGAGGCTTTTGAGTTAAATGCACTCCAAGAAGAATTTTCTCGCATTTATTTTTTGTTCCTTAAAAGATTTGTAAATACTTGTGACCAAGACCAGGATTTTAACACCCACTTCATAGTAGGATAAACCAAATTAGTTTATTTCTTCTCACAGTTAAGGAGATGTGGACTCAGGGATGTTATTCTGCCTTCACACCAAAGCAAGATCAAGTTACAGTTAGGGGACTCTTACACCGGAAAAACGCCATAAGCCTGAATCCAGCTAGTACCTGCGGAGTGGCACTTTTTCCCAGTATAGTTTAATCCAGACACCCTATCCCTCCTTCCCCAAAGTTAGAGTTACCCTTTAATGGTATTCCTTGATAAGGTTTTCAGAAAATTCTGGACAAATAAGTCAAGGTTAAATCACCTTTTCCGGTTCTTATTTCTAAGAAAAGGGTTGGCTGTGCAGATTTTCTACTGATTGGAAAATTGTTGCCACACAAAAGAAAATGAAGTGTTAAATTATCAGTGAGTTTTGCGTCCACTTTCACAGCTCTAAACCAAAACTGTGTAAGGTGAGCATGCATCTAAACTCATTGAACCGCTTGATTTCAAATAATACAGATATATGGAAATGTACAGAATATATTCGGCCACTAGCATATCCATGTGAAATGCCTGATAAAGTCTGCATTCGGTGTGAATTACAACTACTGAAGAACAACATTTCTACCCTATCTTTAGAGATGGATAGGGGAAGTTTTCAAAGGAACAAATCACAAATGCTGAAATCAGTGGGAAGTGGAGGCTAAACTTTCCATCTGTGCCATTGCATATATTCTTTGTCCATATTCCACTTATGTAGAACCTAAGGGACAGTGCTGGTATCTATATGTTGGCAGTTACGCCTTGATTACATTCTGAGATATACATGCTGCACATATCTATCAGCTTCTTTTTTCCTGTCACTGATCAAAAGATAATGGACTTGATTCCATCTTCATTAAACGACTGCCATTCTCCCTTGTACTTCTCCTAATGCTGCTTCACCATCATGCCTTTACTCTAAAAGAAGGCTAGGTAACTCAGAGCCAAGAAAGTAAAGTCCAGTTTTCAGTGTTAAAAAAGTTTAAAGTAACTGTTGCTGCTGTTAAAGGATGTTTTGTGGGCTTCCTTCTTTCAGATATAAAAAGTTCAGGGAACCCCTTCATTGGTGCAGGCTTCCCTGGGGAACAGAAAGGGAGCATGGAGGAACTGCACTACTTGTATTGCCAGAAGAACACAGGCCAAAGGACGAGCCTCCCTGTGCATTTGTTAAAGGACATCAGCATTATGGCAGTGCTGTAAACCCCTGGCCAAGGTAGGCTAGACAAATATATCACACAGTCAAAATGCTTAAGTGAAGGTTTTTTAACAAGAATAGCAATAGGCAGCAAACAGGTTAGAGAGCAATGCAGACTGAGCCATGCAAATATCTGCATTCCAAAAATGGGGCAATTTAAGCTATTACCCTTTTGCGTGATGCTCTAAATATTAACGTGAGAATACCTTGGTACCCATAAACCTCTGCAGTGTGTTTTGCTGAAACTCTTAAAATTCCAAATTTCCATATTTCATTTATTTTTGTCCAAAATGTGGTGATGATTTACTGCTGGCTGTTGTCCCAAACATCCGTCCTAACCTTAAAAATGTCACTAATGGCATGATTTACACTAACGCTCAGCATCAAGAAATCCCATAGGCATAAGCATGAAAAGTAGGTGCTCAGTTTTTTCAGAAAGCTGTTTTAAAAGAAGGGATTAGACTTCATTAGACAACAGCTGAGAGGAAGAGCTCTGTGGATGCTTTATGAGTTAGGACTCCTTACCCTAGCTTCTTACCACACACAAACTCCTCTTCTAAAACTGAAGGGCAACACTGTAGTGCCAGATTCCTGGGTGCTCTGTCACTGTCAGAAGATATAACCTTGACTGAAAACTACCGCTCAACCACACATGAGCCAAGCAGACCTGTCTCAGCAGTGAATTTCTCAGTATACCTAGCCCTGCACCCACTATGCCACCTTTGCCTAAAATCAGTTTAGGACATGGCTGTTCTCCCCACCCTTGCCCTGTCCAGGCTCTGTCCTTGACCCCTTGACAGGACAGCAATCCTGATCTTCACATAGAGAAGTTTCACTTGAGATTATAACAGTTCCTATGGGTTATGGGTCTACTGGGCTCCTAGACCTTGGATTTCATTTGGGACATGGAGCACCTACTAGCTTAGGGTTGATGCAAAATCAAAATGTAAAGCACCTTGCAACCCCTCCTCTTCCCCGTCAGGCCAAACCGCAGCCCAGTGCTTCCTGCCTAGAAAACACTTTGCCCTAGACACAGGGCCCTACTGATTCCAGATCTATACTTCCCCCACAGTATCTCTGGTCCCAAATTGAACTTGAGTCTAGCTCCTCCTTTCCCAGTTCCTGACCTTAACCTCAACCTTAGCCCAGCGGTCCCTATTAGACCAGCTAAACTGGATGACTGTTGCAGCTCTCATGGAAAAAATGTCAACAGGCACCCCAATAGGCCAAGCCTTAAGGCTTCAGCTCATCATCCTGTTAGCCAAAATCCAAATCCTAGCTCTAGCCTTAATATGGGGTCCCTGCTGGTAGATCTAAAACAACCATCTGGTTCTTGCTTGAGTCAGCTCTTCAGCCTTATCTGGTAACTTGCTTGAAATATCCAACCATAAGTTTGGCTCATTGATCTGTATGACCTTAAAGCCCGCTCCTATCCTAAATTCTCGCATGATGATTTCTGCAAACCTCAGATCTAATGGTACCCAGATAACCCTTCGGAGAGCAACCTAACCCTAACAAAGCCCTGTCTAGACCTATAAAAAATCTCTAGATATCAGGGAGTAGTATCTCAAGGCAATACATGAGTCTGCACTCTTGCAGCTGAAGCCCTGTTATGCTGTGAGAGAGATAGGCAGCATGCCTTTGCTTTTTCCTCCACGGGTTCAGAATATATTGGGCTTGATTCCACTTACACTGAAACCAGTTGCCAAACTTTTTAGTCATCATGATAGCATTAGTCGAAAAAAAAGGGGGCTGGGGGTGGGGGAGAGGGGTTGACTAGCTAATAGATAGCTAGGTAAATGATGCCAAATTTCTGTTGTGAGACACTCATGGAAGTTTCAAGTCACCATCATTCACTTACAGGAGAGCTCTGAAGGCAGAGCATGCTGCTGCTTAGAGCTGACCTGGAGGAATTTAAGGATAGTCTTCAGCTCTGCAGATTTCCCTCGAGGATAGGAAGGGAATATTCAGGATAGGCATTTGCATGGTCATCCAAGGGTTAAAATATGACTCAAGACTTGAAACTATCTTCCTGTCCTTGCTCTGCTGTGTAAAATGCAGCTGATGGGACTTCCCTCTCAGGACTGCAAGAAGGTGATCCCACAGTGATAGGATCAGTGCAAGAATACATAATGAGCCTGAAACAAGACTTGTCATTGCTCTTGTGTTTTTCTTTTTTGAATATGCAATTCCTTGGCTTATTTGTTGTCTAGGCGCACTAGTGTAGAGCCCCTGATCCGTCCGTATGAATCACAGAATCACAGAATCGTTTAGGTTGGAAGGGACCTCTGGAGATCATCTAGTCCAACCTCCCTGTGTTTGCTTGTCCTTCATTTTTCTAAATCACTTTGTAAGATGTCTATGAAATTTTATGAGAAGAAAACAGAGAAAATATTTTTTTCAGTGCACCTCTATGTAACTAACATGTGGCTTTTATACCTGCTGGTAAGTTTCCTCAGTGTATAAACTAGGGCACCCCCAAAGGAATTTTTTTTTACATGAGAAGCTATGGGCTGGCAAAGCTGGTTTTAAGAGGAGAATGAAGTAATGCTCAGTGCTCCCCAGTAGGTGTCAGGGCGCACAGAGTAGTGGGAGGACAACTCAGGAGTGCTTCCTTTTCAGAATGGAGGAGTCACAGCAGGGTTCAGGTCAGAAGGATCACCTGGAGATTGCCCGATCCTAACCCCCATTCACAGCAGGCCCCCTCTCCAAGTCTGAGCAAAACTACTACAACTATACATGCTTTTCTGGGTGGAAGAGGCAGTGTCCAACGCAAAAATCATCCATCCCTTGATTCCAAGAAAATACAAAGCATCTTCTTCAGATCAAAATACTGCCACTTTGCGCAGACACTGCTCCCAAAGACTCCAAGTGCAATGTTTTGCTATTAAGTCATGATACCCTCATGCAACTAACACAGAAGTGAGTAGTAAAAGGTGGATCTTTATAAGCACAGTAGCTGAAGTAGGCAAAATTTAAGCACTTCCAGGTCAGTAGATTTTTACTTTAAATCTGGAAAAAGAATTTGTATTATGGCAATCCTGTGTACATGTTGATAGTCCCAAAATCAACATTCAGGACTCTTTCGTCACTGCATTTGGCTTTAGGTGGAGTGCTAAAGTGAGTATTGCTGCTCCATGGATGTTCCCTCCTGCAGTAGAGTTTGTCATGAGGGTGCACCATCAGCACTAGCTCTCCTATCACAAGGGTGCACGTGACCTGGCCTCCTGAACGAAGGTCAGCTACTACTGTGGTGTGATGGGACTGAGAGGGAAAGACGGACATCTCAGTGATTTTAGTTTAATGCAGAGGGGCTCAGTGCTTCTGAAAATCCGGCCTTGCATGAGAGCTGGAAGGCTAAATCTGATCACAGATGCCCATGCTTCACAGCATGCATGGCATGGAAGCATACGCTACACTAGCCAGTGCTAATGTGGGAAAGTAGTTGGTTCAGCTCCTTATCACACTCCTGCAGTAAACGTGGCCCAGTAATGGCAGCTTAAAGAGGAGAGAGAAAGCAACGGCCATTCTGAATTAGTGGTTAGACATGGGGTATATAGAGCAGCGCTGTAAGAAGATTCGTGTTGAACTGCGCTACAGCTTCCAGGCTCTGAGAGCCCTATTGAGCCAGGCATAAAACTCAAATTCATGCCTTCTGATTCCACATCATTTCCCTCCTTTTCTTGCAACTCACATCTCTTCTTCAGCCATGCAGTTAAAGCCACCCATTCCTTTTAGCAACCAACTCTTGATTTATCCTTTTGAGTCAAGTTTAGCTGTAGCAGGGCCAGGTCAGAACCACAAGGCTATTTCTAATCCCAGGAAAAGTCTTACTGATTATGGCTGATTTTTCCAACTGCATTTCCTTCATTTTGGCACTCCCATTTGCTCTCTCATTTGTTTCTCCCTGATGCCCCACATTAACTGCTTTGTTTCCCATTGTTTTAACTCAAAGACAAGTATGGTGCTGTCTTCACATCAGATTCTTTTCAGTGGCAAGGACCATTCACTGCGGTTGTATTCTAGGTGCCCTTTCACATCAGATGGAGCTGAATGTGCTCCCCATAACACTCAGCTCTTGCTGGATCAGAGGCTGGAACGTGCACCCATTCAAGGCATTCCCAGAGCTCCTACTGAGTGTTAGAGGTGCACGGTCAGGAGCTTAAAAGGGCCAGGCTTTCAGAGGTGGAAATGCTCAGTGCTCTCAGAAGCTTTGGATTCAGGCATGTGTGCTCAGCACCTCTCAAAACCCAACCCTGCATGACTTAGATTTTGAATCTGAGAATAGATTTCCACATTGGTAGTATCTATGAATTTTGATGTTAAGGGTTATCTGAGAAATCAAGACAAAAATATATCTATATCTCTCTTATTACAATTGCTTTGGCTTAGCATATTCTTTCTATATTTATGCTTTCTCTTTGCACAGAGGCCTTCCCATTGAGCAATACTATCATGTCACCCAGCTGAAAAAAAGTGATGTGCGTCTGAATGATGAGCTGTAAGTTTCAACTATGTGCTAAACCAGATTGCGTATTTAGCGAATAAAACAGTAAATTGAATATTCATTCCATGCTAATCATATTATGCACGTACTACATGAAATGCACATATGATACATGAAATGTGAAGGGACATGTTCTGTAAACAGGGGTTAGCTACGAACAAAAGAAAGCAAACACACTTGGCAAGGATGTTCAGAATATGGCACTGTGCCCCTTTACTTCATTATCTCTTCAACAAGGGTCTCTGAATCTGTTTTACAGGTTATCTGTATATATCAACTTGTATCACTCCAAAATATTGGCCTTTAACTAGTTAGAATCTAGATTAAATTAAAAGTAACTGAAGTAGCCATGATGCTATGTATATATTAGTCTGTTTCTCTGTTGTATATATACACAAATATTTTAAGAAGAGCTTTGACCAAGATTGTTTTCCTCACTGTTACTGTTTAAGACAAACTACATGGAGTGAATTTGGATGTTCTTGGATTGCTGCAATCCAACTTTTTGCCACTTGATGGCACCAGCAAAGCGTTTTAACTCAAGTAAACTACGGAGATTTTAGATTCAAGAAAATGTAAAGTATGAATGTAAACCAAACCTTAAAAAGCAGAAAATGAACAAGTTACACTTCTCACACTAGCATTAGCTTAAGTGTACATCAAAATATAGTTAGACAGAACATACTAGAAACCTGAGAATAGCTCTGCAATGATTTTGCTAGGTTATATCTATACGGTAGTGAGGGCGTTTGTGTGACCCCGACCAGTTTCCCTCTAGCTCTCATATAAGGTACCTGCTCCCCATTTTGTGAAATATCAGACACTACAGAAAAGCAGGAGAGCTAAGTGTAAGCTGGCCACAGAAGCTAAACAAGAAAACCTGCAGCCCTGCTCTTTGCAGTCCACTGCTCTTCACAGGCTCCCCTTTTTACTACCTCATTACAGTATGCAGCACAAGCAGAGGTCAGTTTGGTTGCCTACAAGAGCGTACTGGCCAAAACTCCTTTTTACTGGGACAGATTGTGGCCTTTGACCAGCAGTGAATATTAGAGGCATTTGCTGAGCTGCTTTTGCATAATTTGACTAAGAATACAAGGAAGGATGTCTTCCTGCAAGTTCCCCAGGCGCTACGTGACAAGATCAGGCCTATCAAAACGCACTTTTGTAAGAAGATAATGGATCATTTGAAAATTGCTTTAAGACTAATGTCCATGCAAAGTGGGCACTGTCCAGCCCATTTTTGCACTGTGCACACAATGTCCCAAGTTTGAGATATAACATCGATGGAGCATCAAGCCCACTTACCTTTTAACCCTTACAATTTACATGGTTTTCCACTTGTCTCTCATTTGTTTAGTGAAGCTGTCTGACTCTGGTTTATTTAATCTTAGAGGGCGTAATGCAACTTCAAGAAAACTCCACTGACTGCAGCAGAGTGATGCTAGGGGACAATTTGGTCCTCTGTGGCTCGACAGTCAAATAAGTGTCCTGTTATATGACATTTATATTGGTAATCCTGAGACAACAGCAGAAGCACGTGCAGATTGTGAAGTAAACCTACCTGTTGCACGAGATAGGGGGCCTGCTGTGTTTTCAGTAATTCCCAGGCCGGCCAACCTCAGACGGATCTTGGTTAAAGATGCTTTGAGATCCATTCATTTCCTAGAAAGGGCGTTCCTCGTGCCAGTTGCTCACCAGAATGAACTATCCATATACCCAGGCTGGGACAGAGATCGTAGCACCTTTCTGGGAATGTGCTTCCTCAAGAAGAAGCCAGGGACTCCTGTGACTACCGGTCCTTGTGACAGCTCTATAAGGAAGCAGGAGGTTTTACATAAGGGCAGATCAAAGCCTGCCTCAGTACATACTGAAAAGAATATGACCTTAGACTCCAAATGTTTGATCAATTGCATAGTGATGTACTTTCTCCATCAGTTTTGCATTCCCATGTTAACCTGAAACATGCTGGGTCTCTAAAAACATGTTATGGTCTGCTTTATATTAGTTTAGCGTTTCTTTTCCTGTGAGGTTGTATTTTGTCTGTCTTTTAAAGACTTTTAAGTTGAAGGAAAGGGTATACCTTCTGAAGAAAAGTGGAACACGCACACACAACAATCTGCCAGGTTAACAGTTCAAGGTCTTTCATAACTCTCTCCCTGCTGTCAGGGACTTTCAGGTGGTGACAACCACACTAAACCTTTCCTGTAAAATACCCACTGAGTGGTCCTCTGCGGGCCTACTTGGGAGCTATTAACACCCAGTTTATTTACCTTATAGCCTGTGAGGCCTCTTTTGAGCCATTAGTCTTTTGTGGGAAATGAATTACCAGGCATTTGCAATAACTCTGTACACCTTTATTGGGCAACCATGCCATTGTCTTAAGTATGCCCACTACATATCCTTGTGCAGTTTTGCATTAGAATGAATCACTTGGTTCATACTTTTGTATGTATCTTCATACTTTTCTCTACTTCTGTAAGTGCATTAGCAGTGCACCACATCTTATCTGCCACTCAAATGTCCTAAAGAGAGAAAAGTAATCATCTCCTTCTATCCAAAGGTGTAATGAGCCCTCCAAAGTTCACATTACTGGCCAAACGGATCAAACAAGGCCACAAAAAGCCTGCAAGGCCTTGCCAAAAAAGACTTTGCCCCCTTTTGGAGCAGCCAACACTAACCAGATGATCATCTTCTGGTAGGCATCACTTGTTCCACAAACACACATTAAATCAGGCTACAGTTACAGTGTTTGTTTGCAGCTATCCTTGCAAAGGCAAGACATACCAGTGAGCTTCTGGGTGGGTTCAGTAACAGAACAGAATGAATAAATACTGGCTTTTTTCCATGCAGGTTTTAATCTTCTTTCACTGCTTACCATGCAACATACCATTGCCATTCCCCTGGCTTTCTCCCAGCTCCCTGACCCCTGATTCCCTGACCTACAGCTCCTTGACCAAGCATGTTTTAAGGTTAGGCAAGATAAGTGATTGCCTCCCTTTGCAAGAATCAAAGGCAGCAAAGAAAGCCAATTTACAGATATGAAACCTGTTTTATTCCCCAGTAGCAATTTTCTTCCTGTGAAAACCGGCAAGAGTAATAAATCTTATTCTCTTAATAATTTACTGAGTACATGGGGAACTAACAAAAAAGAGCAGCAAAAAGTTCTCTGGCCTAATCTAGAAAAGCTGAAGGCCATGCAGCTCTGCGCTGCACCATTCTCAGGCAAGTACCACACCTGTGAGAACAACCAGCTCTTTAAAGGCCCCTACCATATATTAGAGAGTACAAAAACTTGTGGGAACTTGGAACTCTTAAGGAGGTCCCATAGGTTTCAATGTATATTTTATTAGCATTTCTGAGCTATTGAGTTTCTGCATCCACTGCTTTGCACTACACCATGAGGGGAGACACAGAACTACTTCAGATGAAGCCAGTGTTTTCCATAAGGATACTCCCTGACATGCAACCTGGTTAATGCCTATTTTAATCAAAAAATGTTCAGTGACTGCCCACAGTGTACTCATTGCTACAGAAAAGGGACAGTCTCCATCCGGCCCATGCCCTGCATTTGTTCTGGGGCTCTCCAAAATTGGGAGCATAAATCCCTCCAGCTTGAGCAAGACTTCTTTTCAAGAGACTGTGACAGACCCCACATCCTCTGTGGACTGAACAACTGCATCTTGTGTGATACTGCCAAATTTCAGTAAAAGTCTACTAGAAATCCAGTGAAAGCATCCCAGAGCCAAATTTGGACGAATTCCCTTCTCCCTTCCCAGTTAGAGTTCTACCATCTCTGTACTGCCATCCATCCTCAGCAGCTTCAGGCTTGATTACCCAATTTAAGTTTTAAAATAAAAGGAACACTCAAAATACCTGTCCACTTTTGAAAATGTAAGGCTTTGTAGGCTGTTACAGCCTGAGCTAACAAAGCCCCTCTAAATCATGGCAGAGTCATGGAAATGCATGCTTGTCCTTATTTTCTTGCTGTCTTGAGTTTAGATATTATAATGAAAAGTGCTCTATAAAGGTACATCAATAGTTCTCCCATGCCAGAGTACAAAGGAGGCTGATTCTCCTTATACTTGCACATTTATATCAGGAATATGTCCAATGGGGAATGCAACAGGGAATGCACTCCAATGCAATGTGAACAAGTGGAGAATAAACACTGAGTATTTTCCTTCAACCTTATGTCTGCAGGGCCAATTTTTGTTCTAACTGTACAAATGGAAAACCAATTAAAAATATTTGTAGAATAAACTTTTAAAGTTTTCTGTAAGTGTGGTTATTTCTGCAAAGGCTTTCAAGACAGACACAAAGTTTGAGTCCGAATTCCGGGTTGTTACAAATACAACGGTAAGCAAATAGGTGTCAGAATATGATACTTGTTTAAATCCTGTTATCTTTATAGCATCCACATTAAGAGGAAAATAGTTCTTTTGTTCAGTTCAGTGGAGCCATGAGTTATTACTGCATGGTAATCTGAGATATGACACCTCATGGTGATTGCACTGAGTCCCATAGCTTCATTTGTGATAAAACAGATTTCATAGTGAAATGTTACTTTTGCAAGTTATATCAGGGTTTGAACAAAATTGATCTTGCACATGTAATTCATCAAAACACCCATGACAGCCCAGGACTGTTTCGAAGCTCTTTGAGGAAGGGGTCATGTTTCCTCTCTCTATTTGTACAGCTTCTATTTTTATGAAGTCCAGTTCAATGATGGAGTGGCCAGCTGCAGCTCCTGAGTCACAGGTGGCTTGAGCAGAGTTTAGGTGTAGCTCCTAAGCCATGGCTATGCCATTTAACCTGGCTACTGGGTAATTCCCAGCTGTGGGAGGAGGAGAGTTCCCTAGGAACAGCTGAGGCAGAAATGATGGATTCCCCACGGGACCTAATAGCATCCCACACAGCTCTGTCCTCAAACTGAGCAGTGCGAACCCTGAAAAGTTATCATCATCTCCCATTTGGAATGAACCCTGGGTATCTCTCTGCTCACTGAGAAACACTAGGGCTCTTGGCTATATGGAGGTTCTGGTATATGGCTTGTAGAATCAAGAATGTTGATATGACCACTATATAAATAATAAAGAGTAAAAAAAAGACTATCATCAGACAATCTCTCCTACCCATACATTGCAAAGACCCTTTCAAGCAATGCCTGGTAATTTAGCCTTCCTCACCAAACATAAGATTTTGGAGCTCCTGATAAACCACTTAATTCCTATATCAGATCATACATATGTCCCATACAAATGTCTTTCAGGCATTTTTCTCTCTTTTTTCCATCATACCACAAAGAACCACTAGAACAAATTAATTTTTTTTTTAATTCTCAGACATGTTTCTAGCTTGATGCAATTGCCAAGAGACTCTTAGCTAGCCTCACTGATGAAATTCTTGCCCTTTAGAGTTAGTGTTCTCTTTTGATTGCTTTTTAAAAATTTATTTGAAGCATAAAATAAGTCTCTGTGGTAGAATATAAATAACTTATCAGCACGGAATGAATTAATACTTTCTCCACAACTATGATTAGGATGAGATATTTTCTGTTTCGCATTCCTGATAAAAAGATTTATTTTTATAAACAGTGCCTACAGTTGCTTATTAATATAGAGCATATTACACAAACATGTGAAAGGCTTGATATTTTCCCTCACTCCTTTCAAAAAGACATTCTGTGCATCGCTTGTTCCTGGACCCTTTTCAGCTTTGGCACCTAGCAATATAAAGCGTTTCTCTCAGAATGAGTGATATCAGTGAGAATATGGTCTGCACTACTTACACATTGATTTGTCTCTAATGTATAGTGACTGCACTGATGCAGTTTAAATGTGGGAGGTGCAAATCTACATAGGCCATTTCAAGTTACTTACTTCATATCTTTCTTCTCTAATACAGGCTTCATAAGCCATCAGATAGTTCAGCTAAGTAAGTACATTTCACTTATATTGGACCTTATCTTTTCTTAAGGATAATAAAAAAAGTAAGTCTTTTCTCTTTAGCCACAATTGCACAGTGTCCTGGCCAATAAGCAGCAGCAGAGTTACTAAGCAAAAAGCTCTCTCTTGAATGAGGCATATGATGACAGTGTTAGTAGGTCAGCAGCGTTTGCCCAGTACACCCATCCTAAGTGCTAACCAAATTTCCTGGTTCACTTCCTGGCATATTTACATGATGTGGCTTGAAGAATTTGGGAGTGCAGACAGGGGATCTATGGTATCGATACGACAGATCTATGGGAGAGAAGCCTAGCAAAAGTGCAGCTTGGTGAAGCATCATGTTACTGCGTGATGCACAGCCTCAGGAGATCGGCTCCTGTATAAGGTGGAGGCTGTTTGGTTTTGTTTTCTGCAGCAATTGGGGAAAGGTGTTTGTTCTCATGAAGCTAGTATATACAGTCATAGTAACGTTTAGAAGAATCAAAATGGGGTGCTATTCTCTCTTACTAGAATACACCACGGTTTCATTTTCTTTGGCAGACCTTTGCCATTTCAGAATTTTAATTAGTTATTTAATTACTCCATCATGAAAAACTGAACGCCGAAAGGAACAGCCACAGCAATGTGGGCACTCTCCAGGTAATTCCAATTCTCAGTATCCCACCAAACTCCATTTCAGTGCTATCCTCCTTCCTCCCAGAAGTAAATGTCTTTTTAGGGGCAAATTTTGATTTCACAAGCAGAGGCTCAGCTGTTATTAACTGGAGCTGTACAAGAATCAGAAATCCACACTTCCCTTTCCTTAAGTCCCATAGAAGTAAATGTGAGTTGGTATGACTGATTATGTACAAAAGCTATAGTTCTTTTCTTGCTAAGGAACAACCTAGTCAATAAAGAAGCAATTCATTTGTCCTTTCTTCTGGCTACTTATTTGAATATGTGTCAGCATGCACTATTTATATTTGATTATTTTATAGTGATAAATCTGGTTGGCAGCTACCAGAGCCGTTGAAGTTAGATGCTGACCTAGAAGGGCAGTTAATTTTTCTGTCTTTTACATCAGCAGCAGCCAATGCTCTGGTCCAATGACATTAAATCCCTATATGAATATTAATGTGTACTGCTTTGGAGTTTTCTTCAACTAAGTCCCAGATTTGTTTAAAATAATTATATCTGAAGGGTCAAAGTGTGTTTATGCCACAGAGAACATAGTCACTGCCACGAGAAACCACACCCAGCATGACTCATATCTAGAGATACTATAGTCTCCTGCACAGCATAGAGAAACGTAAAATGGCTGTGTGAGTTCACTGAGCAATCTCCTCTCCTTCTTCTGCTTTCTGCCTTCGCCTCTTACAGTTCTGCAGGTAGCGTGGATGTTTGTTTTAAATGAGTGCATCTGCCATCCTTCTCTGCCTCTTTCTAATGCCAAAATCTGCTTTTCTCAAGGTTGTACTTGTGTATGGCAGATAACACTGTTTCTGTTTTGATGGATTTTCTCCACCAGTTATTTTTCCCCTCCTTCTTTTTTCACACTGTTCCTCATAACAGTTTTCCCTTCATCTCTGTCAGTTCCGGTGTCTACAGGAAATATTCTTTCCCTGGAAATCCTTCTCACAAGTTCTTCAGTCATTTATTGCTCCTAGAGAGAGAGGAGAGCCTCTCTCTGCAGAGCCTCCTGTCCTGCATTCCATTAAGGCCAGAGAAAATTCCTGAATATGATGGTATCCAGTATGTTTTGTGATAGACTCATGAGAATAGTGTTGTTCTGCAAATTGTATTCATATGTAATTGTAGCTCATGGGAAGATTATAATGATAGATGCCAACATCTTTATTTGCATCTGGGGTTTGATACTGAGGCTTCCTTTATTGAGTTGGACTTGGGTCCATCTTAAAGCCTCAGAGAAAAATTGCTGAATTCAACATGTACCACAGATCACTGCAGAGTTTGTCCAAGAGGCATAGTAACCTATGGAGTGTCAATGATGCAGGTGCCCAGTCTTGCAAGTTGCAAAAACAAACACAATGGTTCTCTTTTATGTAGCAGAAGTAGGTCATTGATAGGTAGGCAGAGATCCCTGTGAACTCCTTGCACGGTGCAAGCAAGAGAAGACTAAGAAACTAAGGTTTCTCTGCTACCTCTCTGCTACTTCTTGCAAAGTGTTATCTTAAATGTTAAAAGTCTGTGAAATGTGAAATAAGGAAACTGTTTTTTTCTGCCCTTCCTTCCAACCCAAACAAATCCAAGACCACTGTGCCTGCCCTTTCCCACCTCTCATCCCTACCAGACACACATCTCTAGGTACGCCATGTTCCCAAACTTCAGATCACCTGAGGATCGATACACTGGGGTTGAGGCAAGCCATCATCAGCCTTTTCATCCCAATATCCCAACCAAGGCTTTTGATGTGATTGTTTTGAGGAAGACCAAAGGTAAGAGAGCATTCAGTTGGTTTGCCATTTATTCTTGACACTTATTTAGAAACTTCACTGAAGTCTTGTTTCTCCTTTAAAATGAAACTTAACAGAGCCAGAATCTGAGAATATCACTGGTCAAGCTAAGCACCTTGGCTTAAATTGGAGCTCTCCGTGCTGATAGCTACAAACTCCACGGGGGATACCTCAGCTCTGAGAATGCTCAATTAGCCTCTATCGCATGTGAGCACCTTGCACCCTCAGGAGCCAACAGAGCCTGTTAATTCCCTACAAAAGCTAAGTGTATCATTCAGTGTGTCTGATATCTCTGGTCAGGCAAATACTTATTCACAGTCCCAGGGAGTGGCAGGGAAGGGAAACAAAATGCATCTGAGGGATCAAAAACTTGCACTTCATGGGCCAAAGCCATGCCTGGCATAAATCTGCTGAGGACAACAGAGGTACCCCTGGAATGAGTGCTGAATGATTTAAAATATTTAATCACTACACAGATGGTAGACCCAAACTGCAGAGTGACAAAGCAATCCTTTTTAGCCCCCATGAAGCTGAGGTGAAGCCCTAGACATTAATTATGTACAGATTACCATGTAAGCCATCACTGAGAAATTTGTTTTTAATCCTAGCAAGGTGACTTTTTTTGCTAGAAAATTAATGCATATTAGAGCAGTATTCAATTACACTGAGTCTTAGCATATCTCAGAGCCAGTCATCACTCCCATTTAATGGCATTTGGCTCAGAGAGTAGCAGGAAAAGAGTGTGAGATTCTTGATTTTGGTCTGCTTTTCCCAGAAGCCAGCCATCTGTGTTGCAGTTCTGCAAGATATTGCTTTTTGGAAGACTTTGCAGATCACCTGCATGAATTGATGAGCGGCTCTTGGCAGCTGCTGACCCCACAGGCTTATTGGGTATTTGGGACAGGAGAAAGCATGCCTTTTCACAATAAAAGGGTTCCTGGTGCAAGAAGGTGTCTGCCAGCACGTCAGTTTGCCATCACAGTGCTTGCCAGGAGGGGACTTGGCAATAACTGTATAAAACAGAAAAAGCATATGGTAGTGTGGATAAGAAGCTTTCAGTACAGTAAAAGCTAATGATGTCAAGTAGGAGGTCAATTTGCATTAAGTGTCTGCCATTCCCAGTCACGGGAACAGTGCTGCGCAGTAATGCTTTTAGTTGCATACATGAACAGTTTTTAGTTGGGTATCTGTCCATCGAAAACAAAAATCTCTCCACAGAATATACCAGAAGTAGTCATTTTTAGTCACTTTTCACTGATCATTGTTCAATATTAGTTAACAGTAATCACATGTGTGGAGGTGAGCTTGTAAAGCCTGTCCTTGTGCAACAGGAAGATCACTGGAGGCCAAGATCTATTCCCAGCAAAGCTTATCAGGTTCAGAATTACTAGCTTAAGGGGCAGCTACTGCTGACACTTAGAAAGTACTTGAACTTCATTTCCTGTTCCGTCTGTACGGTTTGACTTCCTCTGAGACCAGGACACTCCAGTTCTCAGTGACTGAGGGAGAAATCTCTGGTTAATTCAGATAACCTGGACGACATCCAGGTGACTTTTACCACTGGAAGGATATATTTACAAGCTTTGTGCCTTTTCTACATCTCACTTCTACAAAGTTCAGAGTACCCATTATGAGGTTAAGCCTGGCAGCGTTATTGTGAGAACAGGGCAACTGAGACAAAAAAGCTGAAGAAGAAAAGCAGTGACAGAGCCAGGGTTAGAAATGAAGCTCTTCCAAGCATGCAGTGTAGTCTTATTTTTATAAGACATCTAGTGGCACCCCGTTATTCCTCTAAAGGTGACATTATGGGTATAGAGCTACCTTCACAATTCATCAAGCCTTATTGATCTTATTGTCTTGTTGTTTGTAAAAATCATGCACACCAAATGCAAGAAGAATCTTCCCACCTGGTCTCTGGATTAATCCAGATCTCCTGAAGTAAGGCCATGGGCAGATGACTTTCTGCAGAGTCAGCTGTGTTCAAAGGATTCTGCCCTTAGCTGCTTCTCAGCACCTCTCTGTCTGAGACAACTGGCCCTGCAGATCTACTGGTGGAGGTACTCACCTGAGTGCTTCCAGAAAGGCAGCTGGGTTAACTGCAGCTGACTAAATGGGTGACCTCAGCTATCCCTGCTGATTTTGTGCCAAAAGAGTGCAAAAGAGTTCTGCCTGCAGATCCATGAGGTCAGTCTCCCAAAGTAGAAAAGACATAATCAGCAGCTCACAGAAGTAACCTCTTCCACCAATACAGCTGCCTGTATAGTGAGCATAAGTCCACAGCTTAAAATGCAGATCCACCTGCTGTTCTGATCAATGGTGTTACGTTAGAATATGTTAAATGTTTCCGCTGCAGGTAATCCATATAGGCACGAAGTGGTCAGTATTCCCTCTGACTCCCAGAAGGAGGCTGTGCGCTGGCCGGGACAGCACACATACTTTCATGTATGTAGTTCATATGACAAAGAGAAAAATGTCTTTCCTTTTATTATTATTTTAATCAAACCTGCCTACATCTCTTTCACAGGGGACAATTTTACACAGAGAAGCACTATACTGTTCCAAACACTTGCAAACCATGAATTAGGCATCACATATACAACAAAAAGAGCAAACAACTTTAGAGCCTCAGCAATATAAAAACAAGACCAGAAGCTAAGAAGCTGTCCTGTGACAGAAGTCTTTAAATTTAAGGACTAACTATGTCTCCTAGGACCTAGCTAAGTAGCTGTGGGGATAAGAAGCAGCAAAAATGGCCACTGACCATATAACTGGGGGAGGGGGCTCCTCCCTTCAGAAGCCCAGATAAGGATCTGCTGCTCTTCAAAGAAATGAGTTTGAGCAGCAGGAGATTTTTGTGCCTCCTTAACTCTCCACGAGTCCCACCAACATATTGTTAGGCTGGTGTCTCTATTTCCATGTCATGAAATACGTACCCTCTCTGTAGATGGTCTCTTTCTATAACCTTGCCTTACATAGTTGCAGTGATGGAAGGTCTAGGCTGGTCCATGAAGCAGAAGAGTGATTTTGTTGATGAATGGTCAGGTTTCTACTATTCTTCAGCTTGGTTAAAAAGTACTTCTCTTCCCAAAGGGATCTAGCCTGAAGTCTGAAGATATAGATACTGTCTTTTTAGACACACAGTCTTAGAAGTATGGCAGGGAAAAACGTAAGCGGCAGTCCCTTTTAAGGTACGCTATTAGTATGACTGCAAAAGAAAGTATATATAGTATGCAATGTTTTGCCTAGGTGTGGCTAGTGAGGAGAACTTGATTCCAAGTTCTTTGGATCGTGTTCAACTAAACTATGCACCTGTCAAATCTTCCACTTGGGTGGCAATGGAGTATTGCAGATATTTTTCCACCACCTTTTTATTAGCATTTTCTAAACAGATAATTTATAGGGGGGTTATTTCAAAGCTTTAAAACAGTATTTTTATCCAGAACACACAGTGGGTTTACGCTTTACCTATTTCTTTTTTATCCTTCAGCTTCCGAAGTCTGCTGAACAAACGGGTCAAATGTACTATCCAAACCCACCAAAGACAGTGGCCCCTAACTCCACTTTTAAAGACCTAGAACATAACCTCTCTCCAAGAACAACTAATATGTTACGAAACAGTGAAAGGGCTCAGTGGATCACAACGTACAGTCGGGACTTCACAGGTAGGCATTTTTTGTTAAAATAATTTACCTGGGAAAACAACAAAAGACCACATGATACTAGTACCCATTCTCTCTAGAAAATTCATTTACAGTCCTTTAGTAATAAAGATCACAAAAACTGCAAATTATCTGAGATTTTTCTCTGTCTGTGTGACTAACTCTTCTCATTTCCCTAACCAACAAAAACGTGTGGCAATAAAATATGTCTCCATTAAGGCAGAGGTCCTATGAATCCCCTTAACCTGGATGACTATGCCATGAAGGTAATGGACAGATTAACTCAAGAACTAGGAGAGGACGTGGAACTTGTAAGTACTGTAGTTACTAAGAATTTGATGCTTCTGCCTCAAGTACTATTGGCAAGAGTATTCCCAAATTCAGCTAGCAGAATTAAACCTTCCCTCTGGTAATACACAAGTGCAGGGCAAGGCTCACTCTAAAACAGAGACCAAAGTTCACTTTTGCAGTTCAGTCCTGACACTGACAGAATTTTTGTAATACATTAGTAACTTGTTCCAGGTTTTGGGGGAGGTTATTGTGATTATCTGCTTATGTGTTATCTTATCTTTTAAAGTTGCCACCAACACATGACAGCAATTAAAAGGATCATTTGATTTGAGAAGTATGAGTAATAATCTCCATAAAGTGATTTGGCAGCTCTCCTGTGAATGGTGCAGCACTGCAGAGACTGACACATATCGGGTAGATGTTCAGCTGCCGTAAATCAGCCTCACTCCAATGACGTCCTCAGCTTACTGTCTTTACTGCACATTGCCTCATTCGATAAAAAGCCTAGTACCATTGCAAGCTACTGGCCCCTTGCTATCTACACTAGTTTAAGTTTGGCGTGCTACATTCTACAATCCATCTTCCTGCATTTACATGAGTGATTTGCCTTTTTACCTTAAAGGTGCATCAGTAACATGTAGTTCCTTAAAACCACTGGATTCTATTTTAATGCACAGACACTCTGAAGAACATAAAACTAGACTGGGAAACTCCACGCTTATTGTCTTTAGCAATTTTGACACTCAGTGTGGTCTGTATAAAACTGAAGAGATACTATTTTTCTTAAACACTACACATGCAAGCAAAGCATTACACAGTATATAAGCACACCAAACCAAGTTGAGCTGCTTTTTGCTCCTGCATCATTTTACCTCTAATGACTTAAGCCTTTTCCGTGACACCTGTGCCTTGTCATGCGCAGAACATATACAAGAATCATTGACTGTAACTGACTGAACAATTCTGCTGGTAAAACAGAAGGAATGGATTCCCACTCACCCTTCCACAGTGTTGCTGGCTTTACAACTTGAACTTGCAAGTTCAAACTTCTTTGTCTCTAATGCCTTCGGGTAGGACTGCAACAATGCACAAAAAGCAGGGCAGCTAAGTAACAATTTTTGTAGTTACGTTCCAGAAAACAGCCCTAGATGAAAAGTACCAAAATTGTCCTGATTTTTCTATTGGACTTTTTAAAAAAGTAAGTAATGAAGCCCCTTTTAAAAGGGTATTTATAGGTTCTTGATAATTGAATCTCTGTATCTGAAATAGAAAAGCTGTCTGGCTTTCCAGTGTGATGAAGGAGCAAATATTTTCCCTTATGATGATTAACACTTTAAAGAACACTTTCAACAGCTTGCCCCTGGGAATGAAAATCCAAACAAGCAGCTTACATTAATTCAAAACAGAGCAGTTTTATTGCCCTCTAGTTTCCAAAGCGTGATCAGAAAAGGCCTACCCTGGACCATGCTGCTTTATCTGAACAATATTATGCCATTTAAAGGATACGCACCTTAAATATCAAATACACAGATTGTTCAGCAGAGAAACTTCTCGACTGTCAGTTCTTTGGCTACAGGTCTGATTTACTTTGTTTGGACAGTTCCTAATGCAATGTTGCTTCGACTCTGTGCTAGTATCCAAAGTCTCAACACTACAAATGATTAATACAGCATAATAGTATTTATGAATCAAACTCTGATTGAAGGCTACGTGCCAGTGAGCCTCCTTAGTTCCACTTATAACTGTTTCCAAACAAAGTTAAAAATACACTAATGCAAGTCATCTTTTATATTGTCACATTGCTTAAGGGATCATAAATTGGAAAACAGATGCTTGTAGAAGAAAAGAGAGGGTGGCACAGGGTATTTCTACACATTTATATCTTGGGCATAGGGATGGGAAAGAATATTTTGTCTTTTCCAAAGCATAAAGACAAAACCAAAACTCCCTATATGGCAGGGCAGTGACCAATATCTGGGCTGCTCCCCTTCACTAGCATCTATTGTGCGTACTGTTAAACAGAAGCAGAGCCCAAGAGTGACACGGAACGCTACCAGGGTAATGCTTCCTTCATTTTCCACAATGTGCAGTACTAAAGATAGACCATAGCTGAACCATTTCATTACTTGCAGACAACACTTACGCTAACTCCTGCTAAAATAAGAGTCTTAGATGACAGTGTTAATTCTGTTCCTTCCTCCATTAGAAAGAAACATTTCTGCCTAATCTTTCGCAAGTGAGACCTCTTGAGGGGCGCACTGCACGTTTACTTCAAGGTCGACGTCCCCATGAATCACTTCCGCAAGAACAGCACTCCTCCAATGTTCAGATGCCTCCACCTTTATACAGCATTCGTACCACTGCACCCAGCTCCTCAGACACAGCACTGAGTAAAATAAAAGCAAGAGCCAGTCAGCAGTGTAAAGTGACAGAAAATACCAACCAGAAAGGTGATGTGAGACAAGAGCAGGCCCATCTGTCTCAGATATATTACCAGAAGGATGATTATCTGGATACAAAGCCACCAGCAAACAAATTTCAGAAAATCATTGACACAAGGCAAACAGAAGCATTGTATGGGAGGCAGCTTGCAGGAAGGCCTGAACTTGAATCCCTTCCAAAATCTGCATGTTCCCTTTCCTATAAAGATTTGAAGCCCAGACGTTTGGACCAGCATAGAGTATGGAACAACCCAGATAGTCTGCGTATGCCAGGCTTACCACAGCACGTAAAGAGTAAGGAAAGTGGAACTTTCATGCGCAAGCTTTGGCATCAAGAAGCAAGCCAGCCTGTATGGAGATCAGAGGACAGGCCAAGCAAGACAGCGCTGCCCGAATTTATCCCTAGTTATGAGGTTCCTCAACGCCGGACAACATTGCTGGAGCTGCAGGATTCCTTCTCTAAGACAGCAGCACACAAACATTTTCATGATGCTATTAAAGGAGAGACAAAAGATCTCAGAGATAACATTACTGAGGGAAGGAGACACAAATTCCATGGTTTCAATTCTTTCTATTTCTACAATTGACACATTCCTTCGGTCTTGAAGAATAGAGTAACAAATAAAAAGTACTTCAACGCAACTTCTCTGGCCTTTCCTGGAGAACAAAGATAAATTCAAATAGGAGCAGGTAACAAGGAGAGCAGCTAGGATGGCTCAGGATATGTGCAGCCTATTCGAAAAGAGGGGACTAGAACAGCTCGTCTTGGTTGCCCTAAATGCTGTGGAAATAGGATTTTTCTTGAAAAACACATCAGTGGGATAAACACCGCTTAGGGAAGGAGCTAGTCCATTAAAGGCCAAATAGGTTCAAGAAAGAGTGCTATAGACTAATGGGAATAAACTTAGTCTGGGAATCAGAAGGTTTCTGACGGTCACAGCAAGGAGGTTCAAGAATAGCTCTTCAGTAGAAAAGGAGAGGATCAGAAAACAGACTGCTAAATAATGGACCTGACCAGTTTATGAAAGGAACTATGACACAGTTAGGAGGGGATTAGAGTCAGTGACCCAAGAATTCCCTTTGCAGGCCCTCACAGGCACCAAGCTCTATGCTTCCAGGTAAAAAGGACCCTCTGTTAGCCTGGAGGGAGTCAAAAGCCAATCAGATCAGCACCACCACACACCTAGAGATAAACATGACGCACATGAGCTGTGGAGTCTCTCTGTGTACGCGCAGCACATTGTCAAATCCTCCATACTCTTATACTCACCATGTCTTTCCCAGGTCCGTATTCCTATGTGGGACATATTCTGGCTTATGTTTTCGACTCTTTACTTTTCTAGTAGTTTTCTAAGACCCAAGAAAGTTTAAAAGAGCTGGGGAGACAATAAATACTGTATTTAAATTGCAGTGAAACCTGGTGTAGACAGGATGGATCTTAGCATTCCCTGCAGAACTTTGAACAAGCTCTAGAATGAAGCAGGTAAGCTACAGAAAACATGTAATTTGTTATTAGGAGTTAGCTCGAGAGGGTTGCAAGTGCCAATACAGTAGCTAAGGATGAGTAGTGGGAATTAACTAGATGGTTGTGAAAAAAGTTAAGAAAACTAGTAAGGACAGAACAGCTCTGCTGCTGTGTTGCGCTTCCTAAACTGCACAGGATTCCCGAGCAGTGTGAACAGAAAACAAATTACCAAATGCAGTGCTTTTAAACATCTTAAATCATGTTTACAGAGCCCTTCAAAAACAAGAAAGACACTAAGGAAACTTCAGTGGAAAGCCATCTCATGGATTAATAATGGCATTGCCCTAAGGAGACAAAGAATAAGCTTACATTGCCATTTTCAGTGTGCTAAGAGATTAATATGGGTGCTACCTGAAATTCACTAACGTAACTAATGAATATCTTAAGGACCCAGGAGCTAAACAGGGACTAGAGAGGCCAAAACATCACACAGCCATTTATTCTTTTTTAGCTGGTTACTTGAATGAGGGATTATTCAGGAGTTTCCCAGAGAGGACCTGAAGAGGAAGCAAAATACCATTGCATTTTTCATTGAGACTTTCTTCACTGCAAGTCTTCTAAGTTGTTCCACTGAGAGATCTGGTATTTCCCCGCCCCGGAGTTCAGCAGACTGCCAAGATCATGCTTGAAGAGATACTAGCAAAGAATCATGGCAGAAACACAAACCACTGATTATTTACATGTAAGATCTTTAGAAGGCCAGTAAGGAGACAGCGCCCCAGCAGTGCACTATTTTCTGCATTCAGAGAACAAAGGGGCTCAATATTTACCAAGAGGATAAAGAGGATGATGTAACAGGAGTCAGAGAGCTCATGTCCCTTTAGGAGAGGACACTCAAACTTGTATCCCACGTATAAACACATCTCAGAAACAATCAGACTTTTGGTTCTTAAAATAGAGGCTATTAATGCATTCACTAGGATACGAGAAGAGTGCAAGAGATTATCTGGAAGATGTAGTATAAAAATAACTGAACAACACAATGACAGATGAAATTTAAAAGTGAGGTATAAAGGGACACACTGCAAGGAACAGTTTAAGGCATCTCAGCCATAAGTAGATTTTAAATTAGTTGTTACCTCCTGGAGGAAAGATTTCAAAATAAGCGTAGACTTCTACTCAGTCTGTAGCACTGTTCAAAAGAGATGTTAGGCTGCAGGGAAGACAGAATATTATCAAGCCTTGTGTAGCCTGCCCTTAGTTTTGTTCAGCATATTTTCGAAGCAACAAATTAGAAGTAAAAAAAGTCTGGAAAAGAACAACAAGTATTAAAATCAGGGGATTGGATACATCTGTAGAAAGATATATGAAAACTGAGCTTGTTCTTTAACCAAAAAAAAGGGGGAAACTACAATTTAGCAACAAGTATATAACACAATTGCTACAGAAAAGTCCTGTCAGTCTTTTGTCCTATATCTCTAAGTCCCACAATGAAAAGCTCTAGGATGTTTTATTTGGTCAAATTAATCAGATCAAAACACGGAACTCAGAAAGTACACTTTACCTGTTTAATATTCTGCTTGGGATATGATTAAGGCAGAGAGCTTAGTAACATATAAAAAGGATTAGAGACAAATCCTAGGAGCATAAGAAAAGACCTGCAATGCTAGCAGTTTGGATAAATGTTCTCAGCGCTATGAGACATCATGCTTTAAGATACAAGCTCACCATGGGCAGTTTTTAGAGTCTATGAAGCATCCGGCATCACCACTGTGAGAAACAGCACTGGACCACTAATTTGTTGTGATAAAACACTTGACACTTTCCTAGAGGCATATGTTGAAACGAGCAGACAATACAGCTGGGATATTAAATCTGGTTCTAAAGCTACCATCCAGGCGATTACTTAGTTACAAATGTCTCAAAAAGTTAGTATAACAGGTAGCAAAAGTAGTGGAAGATCTTTTCAGGGAGGAATCCCATTTTTCCACTGACAAAAACACCCCATGGGGGCTTCTGTCTATGGCGTATGTGCTGCCCTCTCAATCAAAAAGATGGCTTGCAGATCCCTGGAATCGTGAACCGGTTATCTGTTCACTTGGCCAGGCTTCACGCTCAACAGATCCTTCTGCTGCTGTACACAGAGTCACCGTTGCTCTGCAGCGAACTGGAGATACACTTACAAGCGTTAAGGCTCCCATTCCACACACTATTTTCCTTTCTGTGGGAGAACAGAGCTACATTTGCCAGATTATGGCCTTATTTCTACACATTATTAGTGGTTTCTGCTTAGAAAATTCTGAGGTAATTCAGGTTTTATTTTTTAATGACTCTCATCTGAATCACAGGGCCATCCTACTGCTCTTAATTTAGGAAAGATCCTGCTGTCTCACCTATCTCAAATACAAGAACTGCATAGGCTTTAGTAGATTACGTTAGAGTAGCATAACATCATTACATAAGGACACCCAACCATATAAATCTCCTTATCAAAGGAGTCTTAATTTGGAGCTTTTCTCAGGGCTAGGTTGATGCTTTGTAGAGTAATTTGACAATATCTTCATGTAAGCTGCTACAGAAGTACTTCTTACTCTGTAGCTTAGATTATTTAAAAGATAATGTCTCAGCTGATCATGTAAATGACAGGACAATAATCTTTGGCTGCAACAAAAAACACAAAAGCAATGTACTGCCAGTGCAGGCAATTGTCATCCTCTCTGAACAGGATATGGCTGAAATCCTTGTAATAGTTTGATTCATTAGAAAAAAAACTATTAAAAATTAAATGGAAAATGTGGTAAATTTGACCAGTTACTCGCCACCTACAAACAGAAATTGAGGGCAGTGGAAACTGGTGCTCCTGTACTGTTTTTTTTTTTTTGTTGGATGGTATCAGATTGTCAGATAATGTCCAAGGACATTTATTACACTCGTATTATTTTGATTTTTCCAATAGACTGAGCCAAATTACACAACAGCATGAGATTAGCTTTAAAATTATGAAGCTTAAAACATTGATCTACCTTTTATTTGTCTTTCAATTCCGGAGCCCTTAATATTCATTTTTAAGCTTTTTCCAAACCCTTGAAAGCAAGAAAATCACATATTTAAGAAAAACTAAATTTCTGACAAATTGATAGGTCCTGAATCTTTGAAATTTGAAAGTCCTTGTAAGGTAATTTAAGTAATTTTGGCCTTGAGTCCAAAAATGTTCTTTTTTAAAAAATTACAGCCTTGAATCATCTATCTTTTTAGCCTACTTTTTAGCCTACAAGAATGGGTTTATAAGGGATTCAGAATGAGTTTTCTGATGGTAAAACAGATGTTGATGCAGTTCCATCCTGAGACAACTCTTGCATCTGGAAGGCTCTCCCAGGCTTCACTGTAAATTACCTGACTTTATGCATTCATTTTTTGTACTCGCTACTTCTCTGCAGTCATCCTGACTAGATGCCACTGCCATGTTACGCGCCTAGAACTAAGAACTGATTACAGAGCAGTTGTGCACTCCTGTGCATCTTACACTAAGTTCACAGACCTCAATATATTCTTCTGTGAGTCTACAGATCACTAAACCTCTATCAGTCTACAAGTAGCTACTAAAACAGATGCCTGGGCAGGGCAGTCCAGTATCTCAACAAAGAAAAGAGAGCTCCAGCTATGAGCACGGGACAATATACCAGACTCTACAAAGGAGTTCTCATGGTTCAGCTTGACAGGTGTCAAGTTGAAGAATAAGTGACTCTGAATACCAGCTCTACTTAATCTACTCAGCACTTCACAGGACAGCTGTTGGGAATCATACAGAAACCTCTGCCTACACCAGCCTTGGGGATACTTCACCAAATGGCTATAAAAGAAAACTCCATCCACATGACATAAATCTGTAGCATCAAAGAATGGACAAAAAGTACTTTGATATTTTCATACCTGTTAAAATCATCAATAAATTTGACAGACCAGATGGTTGCACTGCCATTCAGAGGGACTTCGACAGGCTAGAGAAATGGGAAGCTGACAAAAAGAGGAACCTCATGAAGTTCAACAAAGCAGAGCAAAAAGTCTGGCACCTGGGGAAGAACAACCCCATGCACAGTACAGGCTGAGGGATGACTGGCTGGAGAGCAGCTTTGCAGAAAAGGCCCTGAGGGTCCTGGTGTGCAAGCTGGACATAAGCCAGCAAACATGCCCTTGCGATAAAGAAGGCCAGCAGTCTCCTAGGCTGCATTAGGCAGAGTGTTGCCACCAGGTAGAGGGAGGTGATCCTTCCCCTCTGCTCAGCACTGGTGAGACCACATGTGCAGTGCTGTGTCCAGTTCTCAGCTCCCCAGTACAAGACATGGATTTACTGGAGCGAGTTCAGCAAAGGGCCAAAAATATGATTAAAGGACTGGAGCATCTCTCATACCAGGAGAGGCTGAGAGAACTGGGACTGTTTAGTCTGGAGAAGAGAAAGCTCAGGGGAGATTTTATCAATGTGTACAAATATCTGATGGGAGGGAACAAAGGAAACAGAGCCAGACTCTTCTCAGTGGTGCCCAGTGAAAGGAAAGAAACAATAGGCACAAACTGAAACACAGGAAAGTCCAGCTGAACATAAGAAAAAACTTTGCTTTACTGTAATGGTGGTTGAATGCTAGAATAGGTTTCCCAGAGAAGCTGTAGAGTCTCCATATTCTAAATCCACTGGACACAACCCTGGGCAAGCTGTTCTAGTTGATGCTTCTCTGAACCGGGGCAGCTGGACTGGACCATCTCCTGAGGTTCCTTCCAACCTCAATGATTCTGTGCTTCTACGAAATTTTTCACTCAGTAAGTCACAGCATTATAAGGTTGTGTGAGTGTTTCAGTTATCAAATATTTTGGCAACCTTCCAGCTGCCCACTGTGCTTTGCACCCTGCCTGAACTGGCTAGTCTCTCTTTACCTGTGCTACCTGTTTGCTGCCCTGAGGTGAGAAGTGTGCAATGTCCCACTTGAAATGTTAACATTCAATTGCACATGGCCCACTTACTTTTCTAATAGTTTACTGCAATGCCTGCAATAGTTTACAGGGTGTTGCCTCACCCTGTGCCTAACTGGAGCTGAGAACAACATCCTGCTTCCTCAATTTTCAGCCTCTCCCTCCTCCTGAAACCTCCTACAGTAGGAGGTTTCTTCCCTAGTTCCAGGCAGTTGCCTCCAAACTCTCCCTACAAAACCACATGAACAGCAGATACAGGAAGAACTCTTGAGGTCCTCCTTCCTCTGCTAAGATCAAATCCTACAACTGACACACTGTACCCTAGGATGCAGAAAATATTTCTGTACCAAACTGCCCCAAGCATGTGATCTTCAAAGCACAGACAGGTGACAATACAACAATTCTTTTTAATTTGACCATAGCTTTTATCTTTTCACTGACGACAAATATGCATTGAATGCAATCCAAATATTCAGTTTAATATAGCTCTTTTCATTTATTAAAAAAAAAAACATAGAGATATCACAATGTTGGCTGAGACAAACGCAGAAAGCATAAATACAGTGCCACATGACATGACCACACACAGAGCTTAAAAATCCAACTAGGATTTGTTTGACAAAAATGCTACACAAAAGTGTATGTTATGGACAAATTTAGCTTTGCCTGAAGAAGGAGCCTAATATATGGTGACTCCAGAGTATCTCAGAGACTCTGCCTTTCCCGCTGTTCCAAAGAGTAGCATATTTATCTTCTCTAACACAGACTGTGCAAAACACAGCAAGTAGCAAAGATTTGAGAGACACCATTCATCAGCCATTTTCATCCGAGGACTCTTCAGTCTAACATGTCTTCTCTCTGTCTTCCTTACCTGTTCGGAGTATAGCTGAACAGCTTCCTGTCCTCTGTCCAAATACCCACTAAAAGAGATAATAAACATAAGACAATCAGTACCTTCCAAATTACAGGACTCGCACCCTAACAATGCTGAAAAGTGACCCTCAAAGCATAGGGTTCCAGCCCAGCCCAGCTGTATTCCTGAAAATCTATGGAGAACTACTCCTTCCTCCTATACAATTTCAAAAGAAAATTAAAAACACGTGGTTCTCTGAACAGCCTCAGTACAATTCAGAAATGCTAATGGTGCAAATTCATCAGTACTGTTCTATGACTTGGTAAGATTTATGAGTCAGGGTATGGCAGTTTCTTAAAACCAGCATCCAGCACCGTGATTACAGACTAAATCACTGACACAACAACAGTTCTTACCACTGCACTGCTCCAGATTCATGCTTAGGTAACCCGCAAACGCACTAAGTCAAATCCTCTCCATTTGAGGTACCCGTTCTTACTGGTGAAAACTTATTTTCTAAATCAGCGTATGTTAGGCAGAACATCAGCTTCTACTGAACAATTTAAAAAGTATGCAATCCCGTGAATACTTTAATATCATTTATACCTGTCTAAAATGGTACTACATCAAAACCAGAGGCAGTCACTCTTAAAGTAGACATCTGAACAGTCAGGTATGAGGCAGAGAAGACTCTCTGCCTCTGTTCATTTTACAGGCTGATCTTTAGCATATTCACCTTTATGGCTGAAAGTCTCACAGATCTAGTATGTTCCCTGAGAACATTATTTTATTAAAGTTTACCAAAAATGGATTAAATTGTCTTGAATTAAGGCACAACTTTCAAAAATAGCTTTCCCAGAAAAATAAAAATAACATTGCTACAATGTCTCTGCACGTGCCTCGGAAAGGTTAGCTGTAAAGCTCAACATGCAATGCTCCGCAGGAGCATACCTGCACTTGGAAGGCAAAACATACTAGAAATGAGAGTTACAAAGAGTCTGTGTTCTGTGAAGATAAGAAGGGGAGAACTTTTGAAAGAACGTCCGTGGGCTCCAGTCCACATCAAGTGCTCAAAGAAGCTTGCATCAGTCCTAATCAAGTGCTTAAAGAAGCTTAAGAATTATTGTCAATTCTTAAAGCAGCTTAGAAGGTGCTTTCAGCTCATTCCTCTTTTAAAGATAGAAGAAACCAGGGGTTTTATCCTAAGTGTTATGATATAAGTTTCATAAAGTTAGCTCCTAGAATCATATGAGACACTCAACCCTTACTTAAAAAATTAGTCTATAGCCCATACAATTGTGGTAAAAAGTCTAAAAACATAAGTCAAGCGCATCATGAATGCTCAAAATCAGATGGTGATTAAAATGAATAGAAATATACTTAGTTTTTACGCAACATCTCTTCAGCCAACCTCCTAATTTTGGGAGGTTGGCATGATTTGAATTTCGCGAAACAAAAGTCAAGATGCCTATTTACAGTGGCTCAATTGCACATATATTACCTGGCTTGCCATAAAGTATATGAACTTAGCTATATATTAAAAGCAAAGTAGTTTTATTATAGTAAGTTTATAGTCAAGAAGATGATTATGTATATATGGTAATTGTTATAGCTTAGTATCATATTATGCATATACCTAGTGACGAAGTGTTAATAACTGGATGAACACATCTGTTTGATGCCGCAGACATGATAAGCAGTGCATAAAACATACACTCTCCAACTTATAAGGGACAATTGGCTGAATAATCTTATCAATTGCCAGCAAAATTTGACATCAGAAGAACCTTTGCTGTCTTTTTACCCTGTCCTTATTCCTTCATTCTTCACGTTGGCACTCCAGATAAGCTCTGCTCCACAACGTGGTAACAGCCATCCAGCTTTGTACATGATCACACATCAGTTCCAGCATAGCGCAAGAGCATGCAAAAAGATGTTACTCTCGTTCAAATGCCAGGCACTTCTGGGAAATTCTGTTACGCTGGCATTTTGTTTAATGTCAATAATTAGGGCAAATAGTTCACCTTTTGTGACGTTCTGCCTTTTGAACACTGGATATTACTACTACAGGAGGCTTTTTAAGAACTCTTCATCCTCTTTGTCAAGGACAGAAAGAAGATGGTGCTTACATCTGAAATTCAACATTCAAATCCTGTTTTAAATACTTGTAGTTTATTGATATAATTTTTTTCAAGCTTTACAACATTGTCCAACTTGCTGGGACAATGGGTCTGGGGCACCCTCCTCTTTTCTTAAGGTGGCACTTTCAATAACACTCTTAGCTTTTTCAAAACTCAAAGACTTTAGCATTCCACACGAGATCTAAGATACGGATGTGCTTTTGCCTCCTCCTCAGTTCTTTATGGTGGCACCTTCACTAACACGCTTATCTTTCTCAAGTTTGCGAGATTTTTAGCATCCTTTTGCTAACTGCGATATTTCTATCACTTTATTCTCCGGTTTCTCTTAAACAACTCTTTAAAATCCAACAGCCTCAAAGTAGGGGCTTAGCCCCTTGCTCGCCTTGACTTAAAAAAGAAACACGCCCGCACTCACGGTGATCGTCTCCTCAAGCTTTCGAAAGTGCCAGAACTTGAAACCCCCAGAGGCAACGGGCGGCAACGGGCGGCAACG